TCCCAGGCGGCCTTGAGCTCCCTATGTGGAGGATGACCTTGAACCTCTGACCCTTCTGTCTCCTTCCCCACAAGTACTGGGACTATAGGTGTACACTAAGCACACCCATTCACACAAACACCTCTCCTTCCTTCATCAGACAAAGCCCCCAGGGTTGGGAGAGCATACATCCAAGAAAAAAACTTTCCTGCCTGTGTGGAATGTTCCCACAGAGATGGGACTGGGAGGAAGAGCTTGGCAAACAGAGTCGTGTTTATGATCCTGATGCCTGGTTCTGAAACCAAACCAAGACCACTCATCAGGAATTTCTGACCATTTCTCGTCATCCGTGGTGAGGTTCTGACTCTAAACTACTCTGTGTGCGTGCTTACAACTTTAATAATGATAATAACTCAGAGGTTCCATTTGCTAGGCCGCATTCCAAACAGTGGAGAAGGAGCTTTCCTTCGTGTCGTCGGTTGACACCGCTGTCAAAGGTAACCTGTCTGTCTAAAGCCACCACCCCTTTGTCAGCCAGAATGCCCAAGACTTGCAGACAGCATTAGCTTTAATCTCTCAGCGTCTGTGGGTGTCAGCGGAACCCGGTGGCGGCGGGGTTGGGGGTGGGGTGATAAAATGTTTAACTGCAGTTGATGGGGTTAATGAGAAGACTTGTTAAGATGTCTCCCCATCCCGCGAAACAATACATAGAACCTAAAAATTAGGCGCTTGCTCAGAGTTACTTAAGTATTAAATTTATCAATCTGTCAATCTTTGGGATTTCTTTCTGGACATTAGCTTACCTCCATGACAAGATTCAGTTTGTTGACTACTCCCAGAACTTCACATTCCTTTTAAACAAACAGTACCTGGGTGGGTGGCCATGTGGCTCAGTGGGTATAGCGGCCCAGTGCCAAGCCCTGCTGACCTGCGTTCTGTCCCTGGATCCCACGTGATGTGTTCCAGTTTGCTTTCCATTGCGCTGATGACCAAAAGCAACTTGGAGGAGGGTGTTTATCCGGGACAGTGCAGTCACAGTCAATCACTGAGGAAATTCAGGGCAAGAACTCGGGCAGGAGCGGACACAGAAACCATGGAGGGATGCTGCTTGCTGGCTTGCTCTCAGCTACTTTTCTTAGGCCTCCCAGGACCACCTACCCAGGGCTGGCACCACCCACAGTCGGCAGTAGGTTCTCCCACGTGGAAAAGTCCCACAGACTTGCCTAAAGACCAGTCTACCAGAGAGATTTTCTCAATTAAGTTCCTTTTTTCTTGTTGACCCTAACTTGTGTCAACTTCAAAAAAAAAAAAAAAACCCGCCTAACGAGTACATGGTGCAAGGAAGAACTGACTCCTGCCAAGTTGTCTCTGCTTCCACACATTCCCATACATGCATGACATGCACACACACACACACACACACACACACACACACACACACACTAGATAAAGTAAAAACAGACCAGGCCAGCATGCTTGTTCTTAGAATCACAGCACATTCAGAAGGAAATGGGCCCCTTGTGACCGTAGTGGGATGTGGGAGAGCCAGGCTAATCCACAAACTGATTGGTCACCTTGTATGCCCTCCTCATTCTAGAAAGAGAGGAAATGAGCTAATTTCATCATGTCTTAAGTGTTCGGACTAGGCACAGAGGGCCGGAGTATTCGAAAGAAAACACCTTAGTTCTTTATAATGATTCTGGGTATCACTTAGGCCATCCTTCTTCCTTCCTGCCCTGTTGTCTGGATGCTTTCTTGACTCAGACCTTTCTTCTGTTTCAGAGGAGTGTGGAGGTAATGCCGATACAACTCTGAATATATAGACCTGCCAGTCAGAGCCTGCCTTTCACAAGCCACACGGTACCCAGACCAAACGTAAAGCGTGTGACCCCTGAAAGCTGTCCTTAAGGGAAAACTGATCTGTGATGGAAACTACAGGTGTCGGGTTGGCAAAGCAGCCGGTTCACTGTTCTTTAGAGGCATCCGGGCTTGCCTTGCAGCCTGTAGTCTTTCTTCTCAGCCAGGATAATTTATTTTGCCAAACAATTTGCTAACACATTACTATATTCATAAAAATGGTATGTTTTCAATAGATTGTTTATATTAAAATAGAAAATTTTAGGTTCATGATGAGAATGACAGGATGCTACCAAGCAGCCTGGCTGTTAGCCAAATCTTCCGAACCACTGTTTTGATTTTGAAACTTTGCCCCATTGGTCTCCTTAATAGGTAGCTGCTTTTCTGTTTCAACTGTGTACACAAATGCAAAGCGAGCTTTGAATAAAGGTTATCCTGAAAGCTGGGATCGTCTCCTTTGATTTTCTGTCTCTCCTCTGTAATGGAGGCATGGATAAGCTTGGTTACTTAGTTCCGATCTGGTGGTGCACACCTTTAACCCCAGCACTCAAGAGCAGAGGCAGCCAGGGATGCATAAAGAGACCCTGTCAGGAAAGAGAGAGAGAGAGAGAGAGAGAGAGAGAGAGAGAGAGAGAGAGAGAGAGAGAGAAGAAAGAAAGAGAGAGAGAAAAGAAAAGAAAAGAAAAAAATTTTACCTGTGAGTCACGCAGCTGGTGCTTTTAAGATTCCATTTCTTTTAAGACATGTGTGTGTAGACGCTTACCTGCACGGGCACCCATGTGCAGACCAGGATCCAGGGGCTGGAACTCAGGCCATCAAGAGTGAGGGCAGCCCCTTTCCTAGCTGAAACCTCTCCCTGGCCTCTCAGCTGGTTCCCTAAAGGCAATTCCCCATTTTCACGATGAATTCCGGGGTGCAGACTGTGCAGGTTTCACAGAGGAAAACAACTGGAGCTTTTTAGAAATTATTTGCCCGTGGCCAGTTGAAAAATGTGAAGGGCTTGGCTATAACCGGATCCATCTCATTTCCAGGCTCATACTTTGAAAACTGGCGTCCACGGGGCTGTGCTACAGAAAGCGTCCAAAGCCACACTTTGCCCAAACACTTGATATGTGAGTGAGTGGGCCATGTACTGCCCTTAAACTTTGCTCTTTACCCATGCCGTAGCTGTAAAACCATCTGGAAGGGTTAAAATTGCGCAGAAGGATCTGGGGAGATGGCTCAGTTAGTTAAGAGAACTGGCTGCTCCTCCAAAGGGGACTTGGTTGGTTCCCAGTATCCACACTGCTGCCCAAAAGCCTGTTAACTCCAGTCTAGGGGATCCAGTGCCCTCTTCTGGCCTCTATGGGCACTGCATGCACAAGCACTCATGTACACAAAAGTAAATCTTTTATAATTTTTTCCTTAAAGATTAGATACAAAAAATATTACACACAACATGAATGGCTCTTGAGTTGTGTAAAGCACCTATTCATTCCTCTGGGAAATGCCCGTGTGCTAGTTCATGTTCTAAACTGCAGCTCGTGGGATGCTTTCCAATCATTTTTCTCTTTTGAGAATCTGCACAAACCACAAACTGTTTTTTTTTTAAAAAGATTCTTGAATAAAAATTCCTTTCAGCCACAGCACTTAGCCATATCTAAAATAAAAAGGTACACCCAATGCCAACAGAGAGTGTATGTCTAAAAATACTGGCCCCTGCTGTCCCACGGGAACAGTGAGAATTAAGCACCTTGAAAACAGGGCATGGTGACATAGGTCTTTACACTCAGCACTCCGGAAGCAAAGGCAGGCAGACCTGAGTTCAAAGCAAGCCCAGTCCACAGGGTGAGTTCCAGGCTAGCCAGGGCTACACAGTGAGACCCTGCCTTGAAAACGCAAAAGCATCGTCCTCGACAGCACATGGGTATTATTTCAGTAAGTGCGAGTGGAGAGGGAGTTGCCTTACAGAATGAGGAAGAGGCAGACAGAGAGATGGCTCAGCAGGTAAGATGCAAGAACGCAGACTGTTCTTACAGAGGACTAGAGGTCGGTTCTCAGCATCAATGTGAGGCGGCTTCTAACTGTAACTTCAGTTCCAGGAAAGGCAGTGTCCTCTTCTGGGTTCAAGCAGCACCTGCACAAGTGACAGGCGTGTGTGTGTGTGTGTGTGTGTGTGTGTGCGTGCGCGCGCGCGCAGGCGCGCACACACAGGCATGCATGCACGCAAGCACACACATAGGCATGCATGTGCGCACGTGCGCGCACACAGAGGAGAGAGTTATTACAAATTAAAAACCATGGGTTGGTTCTTAAGATAAATGCAATAGATAGTTTGGCTGACATAAAGAAATAGTATAAATTATCAAGAGGGCGAGAAGACACATTATGGCCAGATTACAAAAGCCTTCAGTTATGTGTTCAGGAATTTTATCTATCTAAAGCCTTTACATTAATGGCTACTGGTGAGGAGATATCTTCTGACCTCCACACGTGTGTAATGACATGTGCACCCGCGGGCAGTGCACATGCGAACACCATACATGCAGCACCCTGCATGTACACGCATAGTACACATAACTTCTGCTTAGCTGTTAATCATACCACATTATGTCATAGAAATTAAAACATCCCAGGTTAGCTGAGAAGTTTGAACATTTCCTCTGTGCCCTTCCCCAGTCTTTGGGTAAACAGCTACTCTGGGGGTGAAGGGGGGACGGGACTCCTGGCCTGCCTCACACAGCCTAATACCACAGCATCTCCATTTAGTAAACAGAGACTAACGTACTGAAAACCTAAAATGCCAACTGTCTTGACTCTCTTGCCCCTGCCCCCAGATATTCTAAAACCCCCACCCATGTCACATCTCACCAGCAGCTGAAACTGGACATCACCACCAAGCCTGCATCAGGACAATGGCTTTAGCTGAGGTTTCTTACCTCAGCCAAAAGTCAGAGAAACGCTACCAGATTCCATGCAGACCCTACGTGGCTCAAACTCAACTCTGCTGCTGCTCAGAACAGAAAACCAAAGGCAGGATGATCTGTTTTTATTGTAAGTTTGGGAATCTTGATTTTCACAGCCACTGTCCCATCAATAGACCTTTCTGTAGCTATACTAGGAAAGCAGATTCTCATTTGACACAAAGACCGCCAGATGTGGAAAATTAAGATTTAGACTGGTAATGGTTTTCATATGCTCTTCATTGTATTCTTTACATTTACATGCGAAAAATCTCAGTCTAGGCATCCATCATTCTACAGGACAGCGTACATTAAAAAAATGGTTATTTGGATAAATACATTAAGGTCTCTCTATCTCTTCCATTCTCTCTCTCTCTCGTTCTCTCTCTTATTGACACTCTCAATTTCACAAGTAGATTGTGCAGGCAGCTCTTCTAATTCTGGGCGTGTGTTTCTGGAGAGTGTTGCAGAGCCAGGGACTGGGCGACGACACTCGAGGGTGGCCCAGGGATCAGATTCTTGTCATGTCCTTCCACCAGAGGGTCCCACTGATTGAAGTCTTTATGAAGTCCTATATATATATAAACACACTGTCAAGACTCTTAGACAGTTGGGTGCCGCTAGGTGGCACCATCAAACCACCAGTTACGGAACCATTACAGTGAGAACAGAACACTGGGTAGCCAGGAGTTCTGTCTGAGGTCACCAGGTTGCATTAGCATGTGCAGAATCTCCAGAGAGGCTGAGAGAAAAGCAAGTGGCTCTCAGTGTCCCTGACATGAAAATTCACCCCACGTTCCACAGAAGGAACGTTAGGTTCAACAAGAATATATACCTATATCTATATAGATATAGATACATATATTAATGCGTATATACACTAAAGATAATATACACATATTAAAGGATGCAAGGCACCATAATTCACTTTTTGAAGTGTTCCTTTTTAAATTAATTTACTGCTTTGTCTACTAAAAGACCAAAAGGAAAAGCTATAATAAGACTAAGACAAGGAATATAAAATTGTTTTGCCCTGAGAACCAAGCGACTTGAGTCACAGAGGAAGGCCATCTCTTACCTAAATGCTTCTGTAGGAAAGCTAACGAGGCTTTTTCGGTGAGGTCCATGGCCACAAGAGAGTCTATTTCTCCTTTTAATGACAGCTTTTTCCCAATTATTTTGCCAATTACAAAAGTAAAGTCGGGAAAATTCTGGTGCACTGAACCCCTAAAAGAGAAAGATATCGATAATCCCCGTTACTTGAAGAAAAAAAAATCTGTACAAAAGTGATTCTGGCCCAGCTAGACAATTCTCTGCAAAACAAAGGAACAGAATGTGGAATCTGGTCATTTTTGATATACATGAGGGTCAAAAGATGTTCATTTAAAGATCCTGAAATACAATTCCTCTTCCTGATAGAGGGAAAAATTGTGCCCTAGTTTATATTTCTTGCTCTGATAGACACCATAACCAAAAGCAACTTGGGGAGAAAAGGGTTTAGCTCACTTCCAGATTATATACAGTCCTTCATTGAGGGAAGTCAAGGCAGAACAAGGCAGGAACCCAGAGGCAGGAAATGAAAGAGACTGTGAAGGGATGCTGCCTACTGGCTTGTTCCCCATAGCTTGCTCAGCCTGCTTTTTTATAGAACCCTGGACCCAGTCAGGTGTGGCACGCTCCTAGGTGGGCTGTGCCCTCGCACACCAGTCATAAGAAAATGCCCCCAAAGACAAGTCCACAGACCAGGCTGATGGAGGTAATATCTCAGTTGAGGCTCCCTCTTCCCAAATGATTCCGGTTTGTATAAAATTGGCAAAAACTAACTGGCGCAACCTGCGTCTTAATTTTAGAAAAAAATAAATTAGTCTTCCGTTGACCAGAAAAACTTCCGAGAAGATGGAACGTAGTATGTGTTCAAAGAGTCGTCAACTCATACAGAGCCTACCACCTACCCCTTCCCTTAGCATAGTATGATTTAATGCCAGTCAGAGCAGCGAGGATTAGAGATTTTAGAACAGTCCCTGTATTTCATTGTAAGCAGCTTACACCACTTACACGACGGCTCTCTAATTTACCAGCCGCAGATTGAGGCAGCCAGGTCAGTCATTCCGAGGGTTTGTGTCTTCATTTTCTACTCTGAAACCTCAGATATTTCTTGTGTCTGTGGTACTTTCGTGTTTCCTCCACACTTGTGCCTTCCCTTGCGACCCGACACCCTGGCTCGCCACTCTCCTCCCGTCTACTATCCGCATTCCTTGAGAGCCTGTTCCGAGAGCAGCTCTTCACTCTCCAATCCCATCTAGTTACAAGAGGTGTCATGAGCCACTTGACTTGGGTGCCGGGAACCAAGGTCTGGTGCCCGGCAGCAGCAAGTGATCTCCATTACTGAGCCATCTCCAGTCCAGGGCTCGCACAGAGAAAGGAAGATAAAGGTTAGGAGGTGAGTCCAGAGAGGAGGTAGGAAGAAATCCCAGCAGGCACAGGTGAAGACCCTCCCATTGCAAGACAGCGTGGGATAGGGACCCCAGCCTGTGTAAGATGGATACAGGGAGCTGGGCACAAGTGTTCCTTCCACCTCTGCAGATGGAGGCGGCGCCCGAGGGTTGAGTACTCTGTAAGACTTCCGGTTGGCTCTTTGGGCTGACGAGGGAGGGGGACTTGATTGGGGGAGGGGGAGGGAAATGGGAGGCGGCGGTGGGGAAGAGACAGAAATCTTTAAGAAGAGAGAGAGAGAGAGAGAGAGAGAGAGAGAGAGAGAGAGAGAGAGAGAGAGAGAGAGAGAGAAAGAAAGAAAGAAAGAAAGAAAGAAAGAAAGAAAGAAAGAAAGAAAGAAAGAAAGAATTAGAGAAACATACAAATGCATTAACACAAAGTTTTAAACTGCCTGTGCCTCACCGTCTGTCTAAACTCTCGGTTCTACAGGACCCACTGTGGGGTCACTACTCCCAACAACCGGTTTCAGCTGGAAATGACTCCGCCCATTCGTTAACCAAGTGGGGGGATAGGGATAATGCCCTCCTGTTTTCCTAATGCGGGAGGGGCAGGAGCAAGTGAAAGCAAAGATAGAGCCATCCCTGGGTTTTGTTTGTTTGTTTCTCTATTTTCCAGTCCTGTCCATCTATGAAAAGTTTAATTTATGAATTAGAATAATTAAACCTTTCTTTGAGATAATGTCTTTATAACCCAGAGTAGACTAGAACTCACAGTCCTCCTACCTCAGTCTCCCAAGTACTGGAACAACATCTTGAAAAATACAGGAAGACTAATGCATTATAACAAAAATAATATATGTGGGTCTGGGAGTGGTGGTGTGTTTGATCCCAGGACTCAAGAGGCAGAGGCAGGCAGATCTCTATGAGTCGAGGCCAGCCAGGGCTAAGATAAGACAGAGTAAGAGCCTGTCTAGAAACAAAAACAAATCTCAGTTGTCACCATTATATGATGTGGAATCACCCAGAGACAGACCCCATGTATACACTGAGGAATCCCCAGCAGATAGACTCCATGTATATATGTGGAATCACCAACAGACAGACCCCATGTATACACTGTGGAATCACAGAGAGACAGACCCCATGTATATACTGTGGGATCACTGATAGACAGACCCCATGTATATACTGTGGGATCCCCGACAGACAGACCCCAAGCATGCCTGTCGGGAATTCTCTGATGCTCTGTGACACTGACAGACTGTCACCTTGAACTGTGAGCTAACTCTTCTCAGAGTATTTTTCTCTTTCATTTCCCTTTTAGTAGTGAGTGCTCTTTTTTGGCTGTTTTGATAATTTATTCATTTTCATCTTTTGAGTATGAGTGTTTGCTTGAATGTGTCTGAGCACCACATGTACAGTAAGTACCCATGGAAGCCAGAATGAGCTATCCAATCTCCACTGGAGCTGCAGATGGTTGGGAGCTGCCATGTGGGTGCTGGGAAGATCACCAGATGCCCCAGCAGAGCAGTGGATGCTCTTAACTGCTGAGCCTTCTCTCCAGCCCACAGAGAATTGTGTTGTTGCTGTTGTCTTTAACACAAAAACAGGAAAAGTAACCAAAACAATAAGTTTTTAAAAAAAAAAAAAAAAGAGAGAGAGAGAGAGAGAAAGGGGGAAATGGAAAAGTAATTGCCTTTCTCTTTCCCTTCCTCGCCAGTTTACTGAACTGTATTTATCTTGAATACTTAGCCCCATGATAGCTGGTCTGATGGCTGGGTGACAAGAGGTGACCATCAAGAGGTTTGCACATAGAATACGCATGCACTGGACGAAGGCATGGTTCCCATCAAGCCGGGATGATATAAGATTTCACTCTGTTATAGAGAGCTGCTCACACTTTGAAAAGGTGATTGTTACTTCGAGAATTTTCCCAGTTAATATTCCCTGACCACAGCTGGCCATAGGTCACTAGAGCCATGGAAATGGAAGCTGGAAAGCCAAATTATAGGCAGGTGGAACTATTCTAGGAGCATCCTTCCTGACTTTCCCCCCTCCTAGGTTAACCAGGGTTCAGAGAATAGAAAGAGGAGCTATATTTCTGCTTGAAAGTCTTTTTAAAAATATTTATTTTTATTTCTCTCTGTGTGTGTGTATGTGTGTGTGTTTTGTGCACTTGCTGACAGAGATTAGAAAACCTTATAGAATCCCTCAGAGCTGGAGATGCAGGCTTTTATTTGTGAGAGACCTGACATGAGAGCTAGGATCCAAAATTCAGTCCTCTGCAAGAGCAGCAACCACTCTTAACTGCTGGGCATCTCTCTAGCCCCATTTGAATAATATTTTTGTGAGTTTAAAACCACATCAGGATATAAGCATATGGCTATCACTCAAGGGCATCCTTTTAGAGCTTGGCAAAGTTTATAAACTCATGTGTTCTTCCAACAGATAAACACAATAGATGCTCTCACTTTTTCTTCAAAGACTTCCTTACATGGCCTAAGGATGAATTGCTGTTCCTCACTCCTTCTCCCCCGTGTATATTGGTATGTTCAAGTGTTCAGATGAACGTAGTCAGTATCTAATATATAGACTAAACTGCCAATATAAAAACTAAAAAACATTTTCATTTAAGGCTGGAGAGACGGCTCCATGGTTAAGAGCACTGGCTACTCTTGCAGATAGATGCCCAGGGTTTGTCTCTCAGTACCAAAGCTCACAACTGTGTGCACCTCCAGTTCTGGGGGATCTGCAGACACTGCACACACTTGGTGCACAGGCAGGCAGGCAGGCAAAACACATTCATCACATCAAAAAAGAAAGAGCAAGTCAGCTGTGCTAGTGAACACCTTAAATCCCAGCACCCACAAGTCAGAGGCAGGCAGATCTCTGCGTTCGAGGCCAACCTGGTCTACAAAGTGAATTCCAGGATAGACAGGGCTACACAGAGAAACCCTGTCCTGGCGAAAAAAAGAAAGAAAGTCTAAGAGTACTGGAGGTGACAGAGTATATTCTCTATATTAAAATCTATACACCAGCACAATCATTTTGCAAAGACTCCCCAATGATGATAGCCACTCTACCGACTTTCAAGTCTAGCATCTAGCAAGTGAGCACTTACCTGATTATAATCATTTTTCTTTCCTTGCCAGGTTCGTAGAACTTTTTCATTTTCTCGATGGATTTAGAAGACTGGAATTGTGCAGAGTTGATGAAGAAGAGGGGCTGAGGGATTTTGGAACGCAGCTCCTCACTCACCGGATGCATCCACGGATCGAGAGCGATGCCGCATCTGCAGACACATAGTGATGGAGAATGGAGGCTGGCCAGCAGAGACCATCTTACCCCAGCAACCTACTACCTGGCTCTCGGGAGGGAGCTACGGTGAGCTTTGGAACACTGCTGACCTGGCATTGCTAGCAGAGAGAGACCTTCCTGCCACAGCAACTTACTACACGGCTCTCGGCCATTTTCTTAAAGTTTTCAATATTCATTTTTGTCACAAAGTTTCCAAAATACCTGTAAATCAGTTGCAGTTACTTCAAAACTGAAAAATAGCCATTTGTCTGTTTTCTTCTGTTTTTCTTAAGTTTTTTTTGTTTGCTTGTCTGTTTTTGGTGTGTGTGTGTGTGTGTGTGCGCGCACGCACGCACACGCTAATGTCTATCTGTGTGTGTGTCTGTGTGTGTATCTCTCTGTGTATACAAATGTTTATCTATGTGTGTGTATCTATCTGTGTGTACATGAGGGGGCGGTATATGCAGATTTTCACAAAAGCCAGCAGATGGCGCCAGATCTCTTAGAGCCGGAGTTGAGGTGGCTATGCATTGCCTGATATGGTGCTGGGAACTGATTAGAAGTGCATGCTCTCACCTGCTGATTAATCTCTCCAGCCCATTTCCAAAGTCTTAGGTGTTCCACAGTGTGTCTGTTACACTATTTCAGAGTAACAAGATACCCAGTCACAGAGGACTGTGTTTAGAGGGTGAAACACATGAAGTAACCCTTGAGAAAATATAACTTTGGGGATTGGAGAGATGGCTCAAAGATTAAGAGTCTTTACTGCTCTTGCAGAGGTCCACACTAGGTGACTCACAACTACCTGGAAATCTAGCTCTAGGAAATCTGACACCTCTAGCCTCCTTGTGCACTTGCATTTACATGCACACACATACACAGACACACAAAGATGCACACACACATAATTGAAAATTGTGAAAATAAAATGTACAACATTTAAAATCAAGCTTTCTTCTTCCCACTCAGTTTGATCCTGCTCCCTGGCCTTTTTGGAAATCCACCCGTAAGCCAAGCAGATGACAGCAGAACACGCCCTTCCATTGAGGGGAAACATCTCAAATGGTCCAGACCACTCCCTAGACAATTAGGTCTTTGTGAGTCTAGGATGAGTCGTTGAAGAAAGAAAATGTTTCTATAAGTTAGAAAACTGAGCTCTTGTCTGACTTTGGTCCCAGTAACTATGATTTTAGATCCAGCCTCATTTTAAAAACAAAAGAAAAGAAAAGCTCACGATAAAATTCAAAACCCAGAGTCTTAGGTAAAATGGTGGTAATACTATCACAAGCACGTCACAGTAAAAACATAAAGATAAATTTCCAAGAGAACATGTGAAGCCCTTTACAGAGAAATGAGGACAATGGGGGATGGGTAAGGATGGGGAAACTGATTTTAAAATCAGCTTGCAAGTGGCCGCTTTCTTCAAGGCATGCTCTGCTTACTTAGTCTGGGCTGCCCCTCCCTCCGCCCACTCGGTCTGCGTTCACACATCCCCACTTGAACCCTCCATGTCGCGTGTGTTCTGTTACGCTCCCCACTCTCCCTCACAGCCTCTGTTTGCACTGCTCCTGAGACCCTTTCTAGTTTCCTGGTCTCTACACACATTCATCCCAACGAAGCTAAGATCCACATATGAGGCAGACATGAATACATAAAGAATACACAAAGAACTCAGAATAACCAAACAACAACAGGAGGAGATTGGGCCAAAGTGCACCAAGTCGAGAGTTCTTTGAAAGGAAAAAAAAATGGTAAATACGTATTTTGAAAAGTGCAACATCTTTAGCCAATACGGAGGTGCAGATTAAAACTATTTCGAGAGACAATCTCATCTCAGTGAGAATCAACAAATGCCAGCAAGGGCACGGGGAAAGAGGCAGCCTTGTTCACTGTTGGGAGGGGTGTGAACGGCTGCAGGCACTTTGGAGATCAATGTGGAGGCTTTCAACAAGCAAGCATAGAGCCGTGTTAAGCCAGGCATCCGCCCAAAGGGCTGCACATCCTACTAGAGAGATGGCAGTGCATCCGTGCGCATTGCTGCTCTACTCCAACGGCAAGGGAAAGGTGTTGGTAAAGGGACGAAGAAATGCTTTCTTCCTAGGAAAATGTACAAACTCGATGAAGCAAAGAGCAACGGTAAAGCTTCAGCTGGAGAGACAGATAGCTCAGTGTTGAGAGCAACTGTTTCTCTGGCCAAGGACATAGGTTCAGTTCCCAGCACCCACATGGCAGCTCACAGCTATGGGTAATTACAGTTCCAGGGCATCTGATGCCCTCTTCTGACCTCTTTCAACACAAAGCATGCACACAGCACACAGCATACATACAGGCAGGCAAAGCATCCATACATGTAAGATGAAACAAACAAATAGAGAAAAATAATAAGATGTACAAACCCCAAAGATCCCCTAATCGGTAGAATTTCAGAAAAAAAAAAAAAAACAGTTCCCTCTTCTGTGTATTACCCTGCCCTCATTTAGTTATCTTGTTTTGTCTCTTACTTGAATCTCTGGTCTTCACTGAGGGTTTGGATAACTGTCGCTCCTCCAAAGGAATGTCCAATCACTGCTATTTTATCCCCATCAATAGCACCCTGGGTGAAAACAGCAGAACGGTGAGTTACCGTCTCACCTGGAGTTAGAAGATTACATTAGACAGTTCTGTCTGTCATACAATCATTACTCGCTTCAGGTCTCTTAGTACCTTGATGACATAATAGAGCACACACACACATAGGCACATATGTTTTACACACACAGAAAGAGAGAGACAGAGAGAGAGAGAGAGAGAAAGAGAGACAGAGAGAGANAGAGAGAGAGAGAGAGAGAGAGAGAGAGAGAGAGAGAGAGAGAGAGAGAGATTCAGAGGTAAACTTACTGTTTTTTAATCATCTACACTGAAATTGAGCCTCTCTGATTTCTGTCTTACCTCATCCCATGTTCTCAGTTTATTCAATCTCTGTATTTACTGAATGTCCCCCCCCCCTGCCAGACATTGTAGTCTCATTTTCAGTGAGCTCACAGTTTACCATGGAAAAACCTGATAGAGACATTCAACACAATGAAATGCAGCCAGGCATTTGATGCCCTGAGGCCCAGGTGCACATATAGTAGTGTGAGAGCCAACCCAGGCTCTGCAAAGGTCCTGGAGTCCCCAGGAGCTTCTCAGAGGAGGTGATGCCTGACTTGAGTGTTGAAGATTAGACAGGAGTTAGAAAAAAAAAAAAGGTGTTTGTGTCAGGCCAAGGGATTGTGTAAGGCGGCACGAAGACAGAAGAAGGTGGCTCTTGGTTGCATCTGGGGAAGAGATCAGTATCTTATCCTCAAACTAAACAACTTCTGGTTCCTTCTACACCCCGTCCTCCAACCTGCAGCTCACGCCATTCCCACTTGTACCACCCAAAGAAATATCATTCAAGACATTTGGCTAAGTCTTCAAGATCGAGCTAATATGAAGCCATTCCTATCCAACAAATTACCTCCCGTGAAAGTCTGGAGCTGAACCATATGAGCTGCCAGTTCAAAGAGGCAGTTTTATTCATAATTCAACCTGGCACAGGTTTCACTGGCACCTGTGTTGTGTGTGTGTGTGTGGGGGGGTGTTGTGTGGGGGTGTGGGGGTATGTGTACATGCACACACACATGCACACATGCATGCAGGCATGTTCTGGCCAAGTTTTATTTTTATTGATGTGATAAAATACCCTGGGGGAAAAGGGCAGCTTTGATGAGAAAGGATTTATTCTACCTCACAGTTCCATGTTTATAGTTTATGATGGCATAGAAGTCAAGATGGCAGAAATTTCAAACAGCTAGTCAGTCATATTATATCAATAATCAAGCACAGAGAGAAATGGATGTATGCATGGCTTACCTGCTTGTTAGCTTCCTCGTTTGCTGGGCTTAGGTGGATTTCTCCTCTCTTCCACAGTTGGGGAGCCCCTGCCTAGGGATTAGTGCTGCCCCCAGTGGACTTCCCACATCCATTAATTAAAACAGTCCCCCACAAACATACCCACAGGCCAATCCAATGTAGATCAGCCCTCATTGAGTCTCTCCTGCCCGGCGATTCTAGATCCTGTCACACTGACCATCCTAGCCAACCATCACAAAGGTTCTGATCACATACCTTGCGATGCAGCAGAAAACCAGCCAACAAACAATAATAAGAAATCACAGACCAAGGAAGAAAGAGCTCTACCACATGCCCACCTTCAGATGTTTCAAATCAAAACCTGAATCCAGGACGTTCTCTTTGGGGTTTCCATATGCAAGGTCAAGAATTGTACTGAGAGCCCGGGAGCATTCTTTGGCTCTCTGCCGCACCTGAGACAATAATCAGAAGGAAATGACAATGCAAAATATTGTAACACAATAATGTTTGAGTAGGGTTGCCTGTAGGGAAATGGTTAGATACCACAGGGGAAAATGATGGGAATAAAGACATATGATGTGGATGGCAGCTACAGTGAGGTGACGCTCACCTCTGGCTTCCCTGAGAAGTGACTTGTGTTTCTAGTTATTGTATACTAATGTATACAATATGTGAACATAATGTATACAGCATGTGAACAAAGTCTATCCACCCCCAGAGAGGACGCCAACAGGCCAAAGAACCGAGTTCACCAAGGTCACTTACATGTGCGTGCCTGGTGACTCATAAAAGCCATCTCCCCCAAGCAGTAGGACAGTCAGCTAAATCCTAGCTGCGCAACCTTGGGGAGGGACCTTGTGAATCATGTAGCTTTCTGGGCTTCCTGGAAAGCAAGATTCCGTAGGGATGTAGTCTACTTCAATGAAATGTGTGTGGGTCTAAGTACCATGCCACATTGAACACACCCAAGATAAAGAAGCAGTCAGTATACTTTGTCTCAAGAAATGATTCCAATGATCACACCAGATAGATATTGTCATTCACTACTTTATAACACATCAAAGCACAGGGTTTACTTGCTCAACATCTTTCTACTGTGATGGAGCCAGCATTCACAGACAGGTGCATTTTAAGGCCTGTACATTTCTTTTGTAGGGGGCGGGGTAGGGGAACAGGGTCTCATTACGTAGCTCTGGATGACCTAGAACTCAATAAGTAGCCGGGCGGTGGTGGCGCACGCCTTTAATCCCAGCACTCAGGAG